AAGAATTTGAGGCCTTTTTTATTAGGACAATTCAGAAATAGAGCTGTAATCTGTTGTCGGAAAATTTTTTATTTCTCTTCTATTATATACTAATTTATCCTATTTACTCACTATAAAAGTTTTCACTCAGTCTGTGTTTGTAGACCAGATATAGCTTCTTCCCATAACAAATCAGATTCTTTCTCAAGGTTTATTCATAACATGTTACTGTTTAACCAAAGTGTCTGTAATTTGTTTTGACTCTGACTACTTTTCCATTGTTGTAAGTAAGAACGAACGCTGTTCATGAAGAACAGGGCAGAATGCTGTGCCATTAGGGCTGTATGATGAACTGTTCTCTCTTTGCAAAGATATTAATAAATGTGCCGACTGAGTGAAATCCATCGATCTCCGTTTATTTAACTAGGGTGAATAGTTGAATACTTTTTTCCCCCTACAACACCATGATACAGTAAAAACGGGATATTTTGCTTTAAGATTATGAAACTGTCTGAATTTCATATCAGCCCATGCTACTTTCAAATACAATGACTGCTGACTTTGAACCACATAACCATTACACAGCATGGAGATATAATATAAACAAAGAATCACAACAAAAATATTTCCTCAGTTAATAAAAGTCATCAAGTTATTTGAGCTACTTTCAAAGAAAAAACTATTTAAAAAAAATCATAAGATACATTTAAACAAGTTCAAGAATTTCAGCCTGTTTTCAACACATTTCCCTACCTTTACATATCCTGTAGCGTACCATTTATCAGGTAGGTTGAAGCGCATGACCATAGTGAACCCCTTAACTCGGAAAAGCCAACACTTAATACAACAAACCTGCAGCTGCACGTAAAATACAATATCCCCAGCTGGAGAAAAGAAACCTAAACCACTGCAGCACTTTTAGTCTTCCTGACAATCCCATATCACTGGAGCAATTCATTCCCACTGAGTTAGCAACTCAGTCACTGCACAATTGCAGGAACAGGTTAACTAATCAAAGTAACTATGCAGTCACTTTTCAGGATCTAAACTGAATCTGAATAGAAGGCCATAACATTTCATAACTGAAAGTAAAGTAGTGAAATATACAATGTTTAGCATTAATTAATAATTTAAACAATTCATTGATTGAAATGATTAAATATTTGAAATGTTGAACAAGGTAAATCAGAAGTTTCAGAGTTTTATATTTTGCACATTGTCAGGCTTTAACTGGCTATAAAATAGGTGTGAGGCTTAAAAAATAATGCTTTTCAAGCAATTTTACACAAAAACATACTTTCACACCGTATTAAACAAGGATTATCCTATTTGAGAAAAGCAGGAAATCTGGGTATTTCTGTGTGAATTCAGTGTATCACTGAGAATGCAAAGTTGATGGAAGTAAGCTGTTAATCAGTGTTGGTGGCAGTGAGACAATGTTTTTAGAGCGGCTCTTGATACCTGTTTTTGTTCAGTCGCATAATGAGCTAATAACAGCAACATTTAACCTTTGACTTCAGTTAGCGTCAAGAGTCATTAAATCAGTGGCTGCGAGCCACAGGATCTTCTCATATTCTGTGTGTTTAACGCATGTGTACAGCTCCTATGCCAAGTGGTGTCAAAGCTCAGCTGCTTGCAGAAAAAACAACAACAAATGCCCCGCTGCAGAAGAATGCAAAAAACACATTGCGTTACATTACATTGGTAACAGTGTTACCGGCGTCCTAAAAGTAATTACATTACTTTCTAATGAAAAACTAGTTAGTAATGCTTTTATAATGTAATGGTGTTAATCCCAAAACTGGAAAATGCGGACAAAGTTGTTTTCTTAATTTCTGAAGAGATACTCCCCCCTTTAAATTTGTTGAAAAGCCAACATTTTGAAAGCTGTTGCAAACCTTTTGATACCCAGTATTCCCCAGCTGCCAAGCTGTGCAAAAGATCGTCCCAGCTATTTTTTTTTTTACTGTCATAACACTGTCACAAGTAGAGAACACCAAAATTCCCTCTCTGTATTTAACCTACCCCGCGGGAGGCCGTGTGTTGCCATTGTGCGGCGCCTCGGGAACAGTGTTGGGTTAAGGGTCTTTGCTCAGGGACCCAGAGTGGCAGTCTGTTGGAGTGCGGCTCAAACTCAGAACCTCTGGATTCCAAGCACAATGCCCTAACCACTAGGCCGCCACTCCCCAAAAAAATGAAATACATAGAAACATCAAAGAATGTTTGGGTTGTGCGTGGTCTTAATTTTACCCATGTTTTTTTTGTTTGTTCTAGTTTTTATGTAAGTTGATATTTTGTAAAAAAAAAAAAAAAAAAATTAAGAACCCTTTTTATGTATTGCTTTTGGTAACATTCTTAATCTCTTTCAACTTCAGTGTTCAAACAAAAGGAGAGCATATTGATATTTGAGAGGGTGTACTTGCATTAGTTTCCCATCATCAATATACAGGTGCTGGTCATAAAATTAGAATATCATGAAAAAGTAGATTGATTTCAGTAATTCCATTTAAAAAGTGAAACTTGTATATTATATTCATACATTACATACAAACTCATATATTTCAGATGTTTATTTTGTTTAATTTTGATGATTACAAATGACAACAAATGAAAATCTCAAATTCATCATATCAGAAAATTAGAATATTACTGAAGACCAATAAAAACAAAGGATTTATAGAAATGTTGGCCAACTGAAAAGTATGAACATGAAAAGTATGAGCATGTACAGCACTCAGTATTTAGTTGGGCCTCCTTTGGCCTGTATTACTGCAGCAATGCGGCGTGGCATGGAGTCGATCAGTCTGTGGCACTGCTCAGGTGTTATGATAGCCCAGGTTGCTCTAATAGTGGCTTTTAGCTCTTCTGAATTGTTGGGTCTGGTGTATTGCATCTTCTTCTTCACAATACCCCATAGATTTTCTATGGGGTTATGGTCAGGAGAGTTTGCTGGCCAATTAAGAACAGGGATACCATGGTCCTTCAACCAGGTACTGGTAGCTTTGGCACTGTGTGCAGGTGCCAAGTCCTGTTGGAAAATGAAATCTGCATCTCCAAAAAGTTGGTCAGCTGCAGGAAGCATGAAGTGCTCTAAAACTTCCTGGTATGTGGCTGCGTTGACCCTGGACCTCAGAAAACACAATGGACCAACACCAGCAGATGACATGGCACCCCAAACCATCACTGACTGTGGAAACTTTACACTGGACTTCAAGCAACGTGGATGAAGTGCCTCTCTTCTTTTCCTCCAGACTCTGGGACCTTGATTTCCAAAGGAAATGCAAAATTTACTTTAATCAGAGAACATGACTTTGGACCACTCACCAGCAGTCCAGTCCTGTTTCTCTTTAGCCCAGGCAAGACGCTTCTGACGCTGTCTGTGGTTCAAGAGTGGCTTGACACAAGGAATGCGACAGCAGAAACCCATGTCTTTCATACGTCTGTGTGTGGTGGTTCTTGAAGCACTCACTCCAGCTGCAGTCCACTCTTTGTGAATCTCCCCCACATTTTTGAATGGGTTTTGTTTCACAATCCTCTCCAGGGTGCGGTTATCTCTCTTGCTTGTACACTTTTTTCGACCACATCTTTTCCTTCCCTTCGCCTCTCTATTAATGTGCTTGGACACTGAGCTCTGTGAACAGCCAGCCTCTTTAGCGATGACCTTTTGTGTCTTGCCCTCCTTGTGCAAGGTGTCGATGGTCGTCTTTTGGACAACTGTCAAGTCAGCAGTCTTCCCCATGATTGTGTAGCCTATAGAACTAGACTGAAAGACCATTTAAAGGCTTTTGCAGGTGGTTTGAGTTAATTAGCTGATTAGAGTGTGGCACCAGGGGCCATCAATTTTGAACCTTTTCACAATATTCTAATTTTCTGATATGATGAATTTGAGATTTTCATTTGTTGTCATTTGTAATCATCAAAATTAAACAAAATAAACATCTGAAATATATGAGTTTGTATGTAATGTATGAATATAATATACAAGTTTCACTTTTTAAATGGAATTACTGAAATCAATCTACTTTTTCATGATATTCTAATTTTATGACCAGCACCTGTACAATTTAAAATAGTCTCCACAACATTACTGCTCATCTCAAAAATCTTGGAGATAATCTACTATCCATTTACACTTCTTATCACTACAGGGCTATCTCTGAGTGACCAAGTCAGCTCAGGGGACTGAAGTTTACCGTCATGCCACTGATATAAGGGGAAAAGTTAATGCTTAGGAATGATGTGGGGAAACAGTATACGCAGTCCTTTACCTCTAATATTTTCTATTCCACTTAGCATCTATCATTCTGAGTGGTTGTTTGACTTAGAAAAGGTGGAGGGAACATAAGAAGGGCCTCTGCTTATGACCAAATAATCCCAACCTTCTGTAAGTAGAGCAAAAGAACAGGAAAGCCTTTAAACTGATGTTGCTTATGTAAGGTTATCATCTGAAAACACAAGTGTCCATTAAATAAGGTGTTACTACGTCCTTCCCCTGCAGACAGAAGGAAGCGGAGGAGCGTGCTGAGAGGCAGACACCTGGGTCCGCTCCAACAGGAAGTATCTGGAAAGACTTAACACTGGATAATGTGAGTTGCATCAACGTTATATACAACACTCTTTAAACCCCCGTTCCTCCTACAGTTTCCTCTCATTTATTACCCCTCCCTGGACTTTTAAACAATCTGGTGGTGTCATGAAAAACATTAAAAGGTCAAACATCACTGTAATTATACAGGGAAGCGCACTGGTTCTCTTCCACAAACAAAGATGGCTGACACATTGAGATTCCGATAAGCATGGATGAAAGATCTAGGTTCTGCCAAAGTAGTCCGTCATTAAGCAGTTAAGTTTGAGCATATGTAATGTATGAACCTTTAATCTGTACGTTGAAAGAAACTAATGGAGGAACCAAAAAGAAAAACAGCAATACTTACACATGAATGCATCAAGAGAGGGCTAATATTTAGGGAGGAGCTAGTCATATATAAAACTGTAAATAAGTGTATGTTAGTCAAACTGACCCTTCTCTTCAGACGATCCCTCTCCTTCAGTGTCAGCGTGTCAGCCTTGGCGATTACTGGAACAATGTTGACTTTGCTGTGGATGGCCTTCATAAACTCCACATCCAGAGGCTTTAGACTGAGAGAAAGAAGAATTTGGAAGATTAATCAAGGGGGAAACAGAACAAAAAAGTGAAAGAGATAGACCCAAGAAAGAGGAACAGGATATGAGCAAATTTTATAAAACTTACAAAAAATAAAAAATAAAAGCAGAGCTAAATTAGAGGAAACTTAAGGTTGTACAATAATTACTAACACAAGCAATGCTACTATGAAGCATAACTGTATATTGGGCCAAGATTTTTAGAATAAAATAACCACAATTTGTCTTATTATCAATGTTTAAACAAAAAAGCAATGTATTGTTACCCGTGTCCAAATGGAGAAATGAAATAAAAACAGCAGTGCACCCTGTTGTCCACTATGTGCCTTCGATTCAGCCCACTTTCATCATGTAGGTATCGCTCAAATTGATTGTCAATGTACTGGATGATGGTCTTGAAGCTGATGTTAAAAAAAAGAGATAGCAACTTAAATAACCTTTAGAAACAAATAGGTTGGTTCTATATGAAAGCAAAAAAAACAAAACTTATTATATACTATACAGATGACATACTGTTCTCCACAAGGAAAACTTAGCATAGAAAACTGAGGCTAAAATATTTCATATTCTTTGCTAATTTAAGTTTAAAATAATCTTAATTTCACAAATATGTTTCTAAGATGAAGTTACATCAACTGATCAGAGGCTCCTGATGTGAATCTACAGTAATATAGAGATCCATACTTATTATAAAGGTTTTGTATAACAGAAGAATAAAAAACAAACAAACACGAAAGTTGTTTCAACTTCTAAGTAATTAGATTAAATGTACCAATCTTGGCTGTTTATGGCGTCACCATATCCTGGGGTGTCGACCACGGTGAGTCGAAGCTTCACGCCTCTCTCCTCAATTTCAACAGTGGAAGCCTCGATTTGGACTGTCCGCTCAATTTTCTCTGTGGGGGGGTTTAAAGGACGACAAAAGAGAGTAAACATCAGGGTGGGGGGGTATGCAAATACACTAAACAGGGAATATTCATACCTAAAATGTATATGTATACATTTTTATCTACATAAGTGACAAAGAAATTTCAAATGAGAGCCCTCATCATAAAATTTAGGTTTCACCTCAGTTAAAAAGTTGGTAAAAAGGTGTTATATTAAAAAAAAAACTTAACAGCAACACCTTTTAACATATTGAACTTCACATTTAGATTAGCAGTTAACATTACCTGACCAGAGAAGACTTTCTCTGTAGTCTTTAGTTAAAACAAATCAAAATAGAGTTGTAAGAAGCGCTGTCATTTTGAAGGCTGCGGCATTCCTGAAAGTCCTCTTATATTAATGCTCTGCTGGAGACTTCTTCATTATCAGACTGCTTGCCTATAAGTGTGTGTATGTGTGTGTTAGAGGACCTACCTGCAGCACCAGGGATGTAGCGTTCAGGATACAGATCAGTAAGAAACAGGCTATTTATAAGTGTTGATTTGCCCAAACCAGACTCTCCTGACAAACAAAGTGGAAGGAAATTCATTATCTATTCTTAAATGTAAAAATTACAATCAGCAAATGTAATCAAGAGTGTTTACTCACCGACTACCATAAGGGTAAATTCAAAGCCTTTCTTCACAGATTTTCTATGCACTTGGTTTGGAAGGTTTGCAAAACCTACATAACCAGGTGAATCTGGAAACTGCATGAAATAAAAAGAAAAATATCTTAAATTTTGAATGTCAGATATTAATTTAACAGATCATAACAGTAATAAACATCCCCCTTCGATACATTATTTGCATGTATTGAATTTACATGTTTTTCTATTTTTTTTAACAAGTTTAGGTTTAAAAATTGTGACTTTTATAGTATGTGACACTTCTGGTGAAACATCACTGAAAAAAAATAAATTCAAATCAAGAAACACTTGAATTTTACACAGGATATCCTTTCCAAATGCTGATCCTAGTAGTACCATAACATTCACACGAATCTACTTAGTCAGCTCCCTCATGTATTACTTGGCACTTCATGTGTGGGGATTTTTTTTATAAACTGCGAGGTTTCGTTCTTATATTCTCACCTTCCCTTTTTCTCCAGACTGCGACATCACTACCTTTTAACAGAGTCTGATAGGCCTGCAGGTACAAAGAAAAAAAAGGAATTAATGGAGCAGGTGCCATCATTCTAAAATTCATATAATCATTTGTACAAACATTTTTGCAAAGATTTATGCATCTAAAACAATATTCAACCCAAATGAAATGAACAATAAACCTGCTGCAATAGTAATTGTCTTCCTGTATGCCATTTACAGTCTTGTGCACCCCATATAACTCTCCCACTGTATCGGTTCATACAGATGACAGAGGAACAAAACAAATCATTAAATCACAGACATGATGACTGAGCAGGAAGATCAGCATTCATTTTATAAACAACAGACTGGCCCTTGAGTTGGAATGTGATAAGCATTAGAGGAAGGCAGGCTGTCAAATGCTGCCAAATGGTGATTCAGGGCAACCCTGGAAACATCAGCTCAGACACAGAGACCATGGAGGCTTCTGTGGAAGCCACGTCTGCTGGTGCATGGACGTTTGGGGAATGACGGGGTAAAGTTAGGTGTGCTAAATTGTGTCAAGCTCCTTTTTATTAACAAAATAAAGTGGGCAGCAATCCTTAACATTGACAGGGTGGTTTCACCAAGCCTGTAGGGAGAACAATGGATGTTTAGCCTCTTGGTTCCTGAAACTTTTCCGATATGGAGCAGCTCAGCTGAAGGAGAGCACGTGTGTGACCCTTGTCTACAGTTCAAGGTGAAACACTCCAAAGCCACAATAATCATTTAGGCAGTAAGGACGTGGTGAAGACAAAGGCGTGAGCAGGTCAAAGCAAATGGAAAGTGTTAGACACTTCCCCAAGAAATAGATATAAAATGTTTTACTTCCAAATGTTTTGATACTTAAAAATGCATTGATCAGTTACAGTGGATTCAGACCAAACGTGGTGTCCGTGGTAAATACCGCAAGGCCCGTGTGGAGATGAGCACTGTGCATTTCAGATGCACAGTGGAACACGTCAAAGAGGAGGAGCTTGAGCTGCATGATGCTGACAACCCTAACCCAGTGAAAAAAACTCAGCAAAAAGATGGAATGGTTAATGGTTCATTAATGCATGTTTGTGCAGTTAAATGAAAATTTGGAGATTAAAAAAAAAGATAATGTATATTACTTTTGTTACAGAGATATTAAAGATTATTTTTGGGTCATCCAGATGTCAACCATTAAGCTCAGAATTGAACCAGTGGTCTACTTTTTAGTGACTCTTTAGTGCAGATTAGTTCTGCTTTGGTTTTTAAAAATAATGTTTAATATCCGCTGATTGATGTCACCATCCAACCAGAGGTTATTATTGTGCTCGTTTCTCTTTTCTTTAAAACTATTGTCTCAAAAATATTTTAAGCTTCATCAGCCTCCCAGATCCCTCAATTTGGATCTGCTGTTATGAATGGTAACTCCCTAGTATTTCCTGTCAAGATCTTTTATTGGCATTTCACAATAAAAGCAAAGATGGAATGTAACATTACAGACTTCTGCTATTTTTTTTCTAGATACACAACTTTTGAAATGGGTTGGGGAGAGACCATCGACTTTTGGAAATCCCAGGAAGCGTGGAAAAAGAAAATCACTTTTGTTCATCTAGAGCTGGATGGTCGGATTTGATGGTACTTCCTTGTTTCCAGCAGGACAGAGAGCACCAGTGATGGGGAGGGGCAACAGCTGGCCTCTATAAGGGATGTCACAACCACACCCTGTCCCTGATTGGTTACCCTTACGCGATTTTAAACAAAAGTTTAGATTTTTCAGCTTCAGCGGTCACCATTCCACTATCTCTGCACAGTGCTACTGTTTAACGACACCTCAGTCCTGTCAAGTAGCAAGAAGTGAGAGCAATGCGGTGACCCATCTCTCTGCTGGCTGTTTCTCTGTTCGGTTTGCATAGGGATACTGTGTAAATCCGCCACCCTCTTTGCAGACACCGTGTTTGGGGTGTGAATGCATCCTAATGGTGGGTTCAGTCAGCTACAACGAGACCGCAGGTAGTTCCCTGCTCTGCATTTCAGATGCACGCTGTTTACACCCTGGACAGCATCATCAAACAGGAGGAGCTTCAGCTGCATGAAGTCAACACCCCACTGACATGAAAAAAAACTCAACTATCCCCCCATTAATCTCAGAATTCAATACAAATCATCTAGCCTACTATTTCAGTGCTACTTCATTTCTGCAGGTAAAACTTGTTTGTGCTTATTTGGTTTTTAAAACAGAATAGTTCATCCAGAGCTGCATCTGGACGCCGGAGGGATTTGGCGGGACTTTCTTGTAAATCTACCCCCGCAGAAAGCACCCATGCTGGGAAGTGGGCAGTGACAGATCAGGATCTGTGCTGGAGTTAAGTGAGGATGATTAACAGTTCTTTTAGAACTTAATTAAAACTCCTTTTTAAAAGCCACCAAAAGATCTCTTGAGAGCATTCCTTATTTATATAATTTTTTATGATTATTTTCTCTGTATTTCATTTTAAGTGAAAATAGCTTTGCCTGCAGCCAGTCCCTGATAGGCTGCTGTGTCACCATTTCATAGAAAATTTTAGCTCGTTTCAATTTCAGTGATCACTGCTCCGCTCTCTTTTTCCCATATGCTTTAATAACTCTGACCCTTCGCATTTTGGCCGATTTCATTTTTGTGCAGAGTGATTATGCAGTGCTGTGAAAATCTGTCCATCTGGAAAGATATTACATAAGAATGTAAAATGCAGGTTAATATATTAGCAAAAGGTTATTAACTTCTAAACAGTCTTTTGGAGGACAAATATGATATTAAGATAATGATATATTTGCAAAACATTGTAACGCCCAATGTTAATGTGATTCAAACTGTCAGACATGGAAATAAACAGCTTACTTCTGTAACTTTTAATGTTGTACATAAGCAGCAGCCATCTATCAAATATCAGGTTGGATCAGGGAAATTAAAATCCCTCAAGTCTGAATCCAAACGTAGGGGCACATTTTTAAATATAATTTAAACTTGGAATTCAGAAATTCAAGATTCCATATGCAAATAAAATAGACTGTAGCACATGTGCATATGGAAATCTGAAAATTCATCATCCCTGTGGTAAAGACAATCCAGTCTAATGTTCTGAAGCTTGAACATTTGGACATACAAAAAGAAGAGTCAATAACTTTTTAGAATCTACTTAACATGTCAAAAACGTTAACTGTCTGGTGACAAAGGCAACTTTACCATTACACGAGTCATCTTTTTGGCATCACATAATCTGTATTGAGTATTCCCACTGAACTTCTCATAAATCAGTGAGCAGCAGATAAGCTGAAGGGCATTATTCCCGCCTTGGAACAAAGCGGTGGACACACCAACCAACTGACTCATAGCCTGGGGTAAGACCAGCCTAATCATTGGGTTCTAGCCTAAAAACACACATAATGCAATAATTAATGTGTTTTCTTTTCTAATGGACTTATGGGCTACTAAAAGCAGGCCACACAAGAGATTTCATGTGCATCAGACACATATACAAACTAAAGCGTTGTTCCTCCTTGGGCTCTGTGGGAACCGACATTGTCCGACAGCACATTAATTAAACTGTTCCAGTACCGCAACTGTAATCTCACTAAAGACAACACTGCAGGACAGACAAGCAGGAGGCACGCTTCAATAAGGCTTTCTTAATAATGGCCATTTAATTGTCCAGATTGCAGAACGGCTTAGACACAAATACACAGCTACCAACAGGTCATGCTTATGGGAGATTAAAATGTTTGGACCATAAAGGGGAAAATGCCAACCCGGTAAGGAGAAGCTCTTAGCTTCAATTATTTGTTTGAAAATTGGATTTCTAGTTGGTGAAATGCCATCAGTTTCAGAAAAGCTCTAAAAATAAACTGGAAACATTTAACTTCTCCAAATCTGGAGTCAAAGGCCCAGACATCACTCTTTCCGATTTAAAAATTCTGCTCTTAGGACAGCAGAACTACTTATTTAGCCTTTTGGTTTATTTTTTTTATTTATTTTTTTTAGTTCTTCACATTCAGTCTACCAAGTAAAAAGATAGACCACTCAATAGCAACTAAACCTCAGGGGCAATAATACTTTTCCATTTTGTCAATATGAGGGTTTTTTTGTTTTTTTACATTTTGAAATGTTCATAAGAACAAGAGGACAAATCCTCTGGTAGTTTTGTACAGGCACACAGATGGTTGCTCTAAGCACTGAGCAGTGTTTGTGGTGATGAGGTCACTGGAAAGGTCAGAGACCGGTGAAAGATCGGGACAGGGTTCTGTATCATTATTCGCCAACATTCCTTTGATATAAAGTTTTTGTCCGTCTGCACAAGTTGTTTTCTGTAGTAGGAGACAGCTGCAGATATAAGATTACAGCTGCCTAAGTCAAGTCCTCGTGCCTGAAGTGCACAACAGTTGGTAAAGACTGGAGGTGAAAGTCACGCTTTCATAAGGCCAAAAACACAAGCAAAGATTAATGATAATTCCTCAATGGTGGCCTGCTGCCACATCTAAGACAAATAATACAGACACTTGATCGTTTCCCACTGGCATTGTCAAGCTGTCTGAAAGGGAAATTTATTATTGCGCCAATGTTTCAAACAATAAAAAGCATTTGGTCTGTATATGACTTGTAAATGTAGCAAAAATTTGAGGTACCAGGTAGTTGTTTTGCCTGGCCATGCTTGATTAGCAAATAATTCCATTCTACAGCGTATTTCATCTGTTTGCTTGGCTGGCTTGTTTTGTTGGTTGTGGTGCTGACTTCGGTACATGGGTTTGGTTGTCATGTGAGGGATTGTGGTATGAGCAGGTGTAGGTACCAAATCTGCTTGGGTGGTCAGATCTGCTAGGGCCCTGAGTATGCCAGTGACGTTACACTACATGATTGGCTGAACATTGCCACATGATGTAAAATATTGTGGTTGCAGGCAGCGTCCAGGTGAGAGACGGAAGCATCTGTAGCATTAGCGTGTCAAGCTAGACAATGTTTCAAATTTGAAATAAATCAATGAAAGCTGTAATATCATTATGCATTTTTTGAGAAACAAC